GCCCCCTCCCCGCTTCGTCGCCGGCGTCGTCCCGAGGAACTTCGCGTGACCGACGGCGATCATGTTTATTATATTAACATTTAACTCTTAGGGTTAACATGTTAACTTTTACGGTTAACATGTTAACTCTTAACAGTTAACATGTTATCTGTAAGAGTTAACATGTTAACAGTAAGAGTTAACATGTTAGCCCTAAGAGTTAACATGTTAACTGTAAGAGTTAACTTCCGCTGGCATGAGAAAGAGGAGGGTAAAATTGGGATTTAAGCCAGCTAGCATGTCTAATCATGAGCTGGTATGTCTAATCATCTGTTAGCATGAGCTGGAATCATGATGGAGGGGTCTGGACATAATTTTTTCAAAAACAAGGGGCTGCAGCACATTTAAAAAAATATGGGGGGCTGGAGCACATTGAAAGTTAGATTTTAGGGCCTAGAAGCAATTTTCCAAAAAAAAAACAAACTATGTATCAAGATGATACCAATTACTAAACACAAACCTAATATGATTTTTAGTATAGGTAAAATATTTCTAACCAAAAACTATGTGTCCATAAAAATGCTAGCTAGCATTGTGTAATTTCAACTCCAAAGTCAATATTTTTGTATTTTCAGTTTGAATTTTAACGGAGATTATTTGTAAGTTTGGGACTTGTTTGTATTTTTTTGATTTTTAAGAGAGTTGTTTGCAACCTTTAGAATTTAAAGATATTTTTCAAGATGTTAGTTGTAGTTTCAAATATTCACAGGGGTTTTTATAATTTTTAAAATTATCGGGGGCTTTGTAGTTTAAGATTGTTCATATGGCTAATAAAAATTTTCTATTTTTCGAGGTGTTTTGTTTAATTTTTCATTTCTTCGATGTGTTCTTGTAACTTTTAATGATTTTTTAGGGTTGTAGTAATTTGTAAATTTTCATTGGTTTTTTGTATTTCAGATTGTTAAAAGTGCCGATCAAGTAAAATTTACGTGTTTTTTATAATTTTCGGACTTATCCTTTGCTTTCTATAATTTCTAAAATTTCCAGGGTTATTATAATATTTGAATTTTCAGGATGTAATTAAAGATTTTAGAGCCTTATCCAAAAATTTCTAAAAATTAGGGGTGGTTGTAACTTTTTTAGTTTGGTAGCCACTAGATTTCACCCCTGTTTTCAATATGTAAGAAGGGAAAGTACATAAGGCCTTTGTAGAAAACAGGCCATTCAGAGCCTCTAAATTGTACTACACAGACGCTAAGATGTACAAGCAAGATACAGAAGGCGAGGAGGACATTAAATATGTTTTTTGTAGTTTTCAGATTTTCCCGGTAACTTTTAGATTTTTCACAGGGAGTTGTTTTTACTTTTTAAATTTTCTAGTTGTTGTTTATAACTTCAAGTTACTCAAGGTGATTGTTTAAATTCATTTTTTTTTCATATGTTTTAATGTTTTATTTTTTTTAATTCATAGGATTATGCCTATAAAATTCATATTGTTAAGGCAGTTGTTC